CTATAAAACTTTTGTATACAACATTTTTTGATATCTTGAATAATTTTCGAGATATAACAAAAGAAAAAAAGAATTAATTTACATATAAAAGGTGGATTCATCCCTTTAAACCGTTTTTTAGCACCAACTGATAATTTTTAAATTCATCTATTTATGTGACCTCAAAGTGTACCAAGTTTCATTAAAATCAGAATTTGACACTTCGCGAGGTTCCCTTGTGAGTCGATGTTAACGGAATTTACTTCAAAAATAATATATCCAAGCACACCCAAAATCGTTGATGACATAGATAATATAGAAAGAATGGAAATGGAAATATCTGATATGTTGCAGGAATTTAATTTACCTTGCATAAGTTTACCTAATGAAATGTATGAATAATATACATTATTTTTATGCATATAATTATCATAAGTCATTAAAGACGTTGCTTGTCGGTAATAATAGAAGGGTCAAGTGCAAATGTAAAAGCTAATTCTTTAAAAATTCTTAAATGACTACAACTTTTGTTTCTAACTTATAATATATATTCTGCGCGTGTTTATATGTTATATATACAAAATATAAAATGCGTTAAGTTTGTAAAATAATAAGACTTTTTATACGTTATTAATCGGTTCATTTTTGTGTGTTTATAAATTAATATTCTATAAAGTATTCATTTTGTTTTATGTAAAATATTAAAATTATTGATTTTGTAATTATTCTGTCGTTTTATTATTTTTAAATTATTAATTTCTTTATATATATTTCTTTGTATAAAATTCTAAACATTAGTTTTAAGTAAGTTTAATAAGTAATTAACAATTCATTATTTTAATTTAAAAAACCCGTCATATAGTATCTCACAACAACTTAATGCCAAATAAATAAATAAGATAAAATAGATAAATAAGTTCCCAAAATTTGGCGATTTTATTGGTGGAATTCACTATAATAAATTGACTACTTTTGGCTACAAGAAGCTTCATAGATGACGATACTAGAGTAGGTTCATCTGGCAACCCTGTACAAGGGTCGGCCAACCGGGCGACCCGGCTCTCTCCGAGGGGTTACTATAGCGTTGTCAACCAGGCGCCCTGGTCTGACGAGCGAGGAAGTGGGGCGGCCCAACTCTCTTCAGGAAGGATAAGCGTGGTCTGTTCTTGAGCGGGCTCAGGACAGGACTGGATGCCGCTTGCTCTGCGGCCGCGATTTATATACCCCCGCCGATAGACTTCGGCGGAGGAAGGCGCGGAGAGGGGGTTGCCCGCAGGTATCACGTGGTATCACGCTCGGAGCGCATGATCGTAGTGGAATTTGTGGCGCTAAGCGCCAGGGGCGGTTGGTCGGCTCCGAATCTAGTGACGAGGCGGGAGCGCATCATCACAAATATATAAAACATTACAATTCTTTTACATTTTGATTATGTTGAATAATAGGAATTAAATCATAAATTCCTGCCATTCAACACGACCAACAGTATTGAAGTATTCCTTGAAAATGTTACAAAGAGAAATTGCATTTCTGCTAGTCTTACATTCGCTATTTCTAAATTACGTAGTTGACTATTATTAGATCTCCAAGCAGCTAACATTATTGTGTGATTTTCTACATTTTCAATATCAATGGCTCCATGTAAATAAGCAGCATTTTCTTTCGTCAGATAGTTATGTAATGCACAACAAGCAAGTGTAACATTTTGAACAGTTTCAACAGGTAAGTATATTTCTGTTAATAATACGCGAAATCTATTTGCTAATATACCGAATGTGTTTTCCACAACTCTTCTACCTCTACTTAATCTATAATTAAATATTTGTTCGTCATGAGTTAAATTTCGTGATGAATAAGGCTTTAATATATGATTTTGAAGAGGAAAAGCAGCATCAGCTAAGATTACATAAGACACAGATTCATTCATACCAGGCAATGGTTTATCTAAAGGAATGTTAAGTGAATTTTGTGGATTATTTAGAAACTTTGCAAAGTCGCTATCACGAAAAACACCTCCATCACTAACTCTACCGTTAATGCCAACGTTAATATATATAAATTGATAATGAGCATCAACTAATGCTAACAAAACGATACTGTCTGTTCCTTTATAATTATGATATAAAGATCCATATTTAACTGGTACTTTAAATTCGATATGTCGTTCATCCATGGAACCTATACAATTTGGAACGTTCCATACCTCAAGATAACTATTAGCAATTTTTTTCCATTCAGCAGTTGTACTAGGTGTCTGTAAACATTAATAATAACAAATATTAAATTACGAAAGTTATAAACAAAGTTATAAACAAATAATTATTAGTAATTTATATAATATATTTTAATAATTTTTATATTTTTATAAAAAAATGTATTTGTTTTTAATATAGATTTAAATTTTACTTGTAAATAGTCTTATCGAAGAACCTCATACAAAACACGACAAGTTTCAGGAATTATGCGAGAAATTGTACATGCTGGAATTCTTGTTGAATATTCCAAGCTTCTATAACTTTCGCCTGTTGCCAGAAATCTCAAAGTAAGTGATAATCGTTCTTTAGATATACATTCTCTCATATTAGTATTTTGACGTTATATGTATGGTGCTATCATTTCTAGAAGTCGGTCAAATAAATCATCCCGTATCCTAAAGAATCTTTCAAAACATGCATTATCTTCTATTCTTAATTCCGTATGTGCTAGGTTGAGCGTGCCTCATAATTGTAAATTTCTTCGAAAGATCCATTTTCGAGTCCAAACTGATCTACGTCGTCGTTCTCGTAGATGTTTGATTAAATCTTCCATTTCTTCTCTTTCTATTGCTTCAACTATCAAAGCAATAGTAATTAACTTTTTTATTTTATTATGCATTATGTGAAAATATGAAAATTTCAACAAATAATTAGTAATAGTTTTTAAACTTATTTTAAAGAAAAGTTATACAGAAATTAATAATTTAATAAATTGTGAGAATATATTTACTTGCAAATATGCTCAACACGTACTCAGTTATTTTCCTGACAGTTAATTTCATTTGAAATGACCGAGAAATGTACCGCCATCTGCAATTATCTAACAAGGGGAGGGCGCGAAGTGTCCAAAACCGATTTTGAAAAGGTTTATATATGTTAAAGTACTCTAGTAGTAGATTACTTTGGCAAAGGGATATGATGCAACTTTCAGCCGTTTTCGAGAAAAACCGGTTTAAAGTTTACAACGTTACATATATACCGCTCGCGTTAAACCCATTGCCGATAAAGTGGCGTAGCTCAAGCGCTCAGCTGTGGACTACCAATCTGTCGATCCAGATTCGATTCCTCTGCTTTATTGCACTTTTTTTTCCAAAAAAATTTTTTTATTTTATTATTATGTTAAATATGTATTATACCATTACGTCAAATAAAATTAATTTTATTAAAAAACAATTGTTTTTATTTAAAATTTTCACTTTTAGCTTTATTTAATATAATTCAGTGAACATAATTTTTATTAAAAACTGTATTATTTTACATGTTCTATCCAATATAAGACTAATAAAATGCCGCTTTTAACATAGTTTAATATAGTATATTTTAATTAAATTTTAAAATGGTTAATTTAATAAGAAATTTTAAAATAAATGCGAAAAATGTGCCAAAACTTTTATTCATCTTAATCATTAATATTAACGCTTACAGTATGCCACACAACTTGTTGGGTGGTATTTATCATAAAAACAAGTGAAACATAAGCTTACATCACACCATGCACATTTTATGAATGTTACCTTTCGACACGCACAATGCTTTTTTAAAGGTGTAACAGTAAAACAGACATCATTTACGTTTAAAAAAAACGGCCTTTCCTCTATTAATTTGGCAGCAAACCACGCATATTTAAGCATTGGAAAAAAGGCGGGAGCGCTTAATTGATTGTGTACCAAAGAGTATATTTTTATAGCATCTTCGCGTGATGCTATTTCTCGTTGATTTTCAAGCAGAATAGGAGCATTTTGTAATTTTTTAATAAGAATTTTTACTTGGCGATAAAAGTAAACATCACAGGGTTGACAAAGTGGCGTACATTTTGGAAGAATAAATTTCAAAGTGCAAGTTGCTTCCCCAGAATCATTTTCAAATATTTCATCATGCAAATTGTAATCTGTTTGTTCCCCCCACGAATCAATGATTAACAAAAATTTATTTTTGTTCACATATGATAAAAGAACATTTTCTAAAAATTGTTTATACAAATCTTTTGATAATTTTCCTGATTTGGAGCAAGTGATCAAATTCTGTCGTTAATTTTTCGATTTTTTTGGAAACTGTCGGATCAAATTTATTCGTGGGTTCTTGCAGGCACAGAAAAACTAATGGAAGCAACTTGCCTGACGCAGTTACAGAGTATTGTGCTGTATACGAATGAGTTAATTTGTTTAAATTTTGTTTTTTCACAAATACCGTTTTAACTCCTTGAAAGTCCAATGACCTATTGTAAGTCATCTCGTATTGACAACCTGTTTGATCTGTATTAATCACAAAATCCAAATCAGGAGACGCGGTAGCGTCTCCCGCCAAGTATATTTTTTCGTTATTAACAGAGACGCTACAGTGTATCCTTTACTGGACGAATAACGACTCTGTAGGAATAAATTATTATTTCTTTTAATTATTTGGATAATATCGGTAAATGCCTAATTTTGTGAAAAAATCTATATTTTTCTAATCACAATAGATCGGAAGAGCACACGT